CAGTCACTGGGGATGTTCTCTGCAGTGGTTAGGATCAACACTGGTCAGTCACTGGGGATGTCTGGTAGCTCTGCACTGCAATTGCTCAGAACTTACTGTCAGGATTCCTGCTCAATGTCCTTTCTACTGTTTTAATTTGTCAATAATGGCAGCTTTGTTTCTCACTATGGTACTTAATGTTATCATAGGGAGGAGTAAGAGATTATGTAAGAAACTTCTTACCTTTTACAGTAAGTAAATTAAGTAAGAAACTATATAAAATAAGTAAGAAACAAGTAAGAAATGGTGGTATATAAGAAACTCTCATGTAAGGAACACAACAAAATACTCTGAATTATACAGCCTGTTAGCAAAGCTTTGGGCGGTATGTGTGTGGGTGGGTGGCAGGGGTGTGTGTGGGGGACAGGGGTGGGAGGTGGAGGGGAGATGCTTATGTCATCCTATTTGCTACTTACCAAATGTCTAAATTCTACTGAGAGGCTCCCGTTGGAGGATTCCTCGATGGACATGGCTTTGACTTGAGTTCCACAAAGCACAAATCTTCTATTGCTAGAGAGAAAAATCTTCACTTTTAAAAAAGGTTTTGGGTCAACATAAACTTGAGATAATATCAAGAAAAAAAATCTACAAAGTAAATATCTTACCTTAGCGTTGAAACATTCCTGTAAAACCAAGAAGAGTCTTTAAACAAGCTGGTTATTAGACCCAGGAAGGCATTTCTAGACTACTTTGTCTCACTACACGGAGCATCATCTAAGTCTTCGCTGTTAAATGTTTGAACTTGAAATCAAGAATTTGAAGTACAGTGGTGTGTAAAGTTAGAGAAATAGATACAAAAGTTCAAAATTATCATATAAGAATTTGAAAGATCTTTCATTGACGCATTTGAAATGAAATTAGAAAACTTACTTGTCGATCGATGCCTTTACTTTCACCTGATAGTTGAGTTCCGGCAATTTTATTAGTAGTCTGGAAAGAAACAGGAATAAAGAATGAAAGATAAAAATTTATAAGTGGTAAAAGCTTTTCATACATTTAAATAATTAAACATATTTCTAGCATATACATATAAATAAAGCATTATCTCCACTTAGATGTTAATGTGCTTTAAAATGTAAAACCTCTTGAGTTTGCTCTGTGACGCTGCTGGCACTGGTCAGTGTCACTGCTGACACACACTGGCTGTTTGCACATTTTTTCGGTTGATAGGTGCTAGATTCATTGGCCCAGTCAGATAAACAGCTGTATGCTTGGGTTGAAAGCTGAAACATATGTATTTAAGAAAGGTTCTTTGCAAGTCTATTAACATGACGCCCTCTTCTCCCCATACTGCGGAAACAAATGTTTTGTGAACTTAGCAAAACTAAGTTTGAGAATTTTGATGGTGAAAATACTGAGAAAGACCAAATTTCTAAAATGACTACAGAAAAATCTCTATTAAATTATATTTGTAATTTCAAGAAGAGTAATATATTTTCATAGCAGCAAACATGCTTATAACTAAAAAAGACAATTTCAAACAAAGGAACAATCCAAGCTCAGATAAGAATTCCTTGAATTCCTTCTTTGGACGTTTGTTTCCCCTGCCCCCCAAAATCCCCAAGGTATCCATGACATGCTTATTTCTGTGGGTTCCTTGCATCTGCAGACACATTCACTCATTCACTTACCTATCCATCCATCCATTCATTCATCCTAAGCCTTATACATTCATCCAATATATACTCAACTCCTCATGTATATTGAGTATAGACGCAGATATCTGAAAACTCATGCAGCAAAGATTGGATAAAGGAGAAAAGTGGGCATGGCTATGTGTAAAAGAAAAGAATCCAGCCGAGCAGATGGGATTTATAGAATATGGAGGAAATGCATTAGTATTGGAGACATAAAACTGTAGCTCATCAACAGCCCACGCGAAGATGCCTATGCAGGGAAGCAAAGGGTCCTTAGACGTCTTGCATGAAGCACAGTTTGGCTTCAGGGCGGAATATGCTGAGTGTAAAGTCAGTAGTGGATGGAGAAGAGGGTGTGTGGTCTCATGGGCAGTTTTCTTTTCCATCTTCCTCCTCCAGAAAGGGTTTGATCCACTGTCAAGCACCGATGACTGATCCTAGAGCAGTGGTTCTCAAACTGTGGGTCTCGACCCCTCACACTACAATTCATAACAGGAGCAAAACTACAGTTATGAAGTAGCAACAAAAATAATTTTATGGTTGAGTGCCACCACAGCACGAGGGACGACATTAAAGGGCTGCAGTGTTAGAATGGTCGAGAACCCCTGTCTGAGAGTTTCCCGTGCCACCCTCTCTTTGAAACAGGAGAGCACAATGCTATGGCAGAGAGACGCTTTAGAGGAAAAGTTTGCATCCTCTAGCAAGAGAGTGCACACAAAGTTCAGGGGAGGAGGATGAGGACCCAGCAGTCAAGCTGAGGAGGAGGACCGGGTGCCCGCTCCAGGACAGGGACCTATGCTCAGGCATCATTTCAAACAAGCGCTAAATGCTACCTGCTCAGGGACCTCTTGCACTCAGAATGTTTTGCTAGACAGTCCTTGTTATCTTTTCATTTCTCACACAGCATTTCCAGTTTCCTTGTCATCTACACGGATGTCTCAAGTAAAAGTAGAACATCCACCATGTCTCCATCCTAACTCCCTGGTCACCATCTCCTGGCTTCCATAGAGGTTGGAGATGAGGAATGAACAACGTTTAAGAGAGAAATCTGAAAAAGGAACTTGGCTAATTCCCTCTGTTTTCTGTTCTTGAATCTTGGTTCACACAAGAAATCGAAATCGACTGGGAGATTTAATCAGGGGTTTTGAAATGCAAATTGAAAAGTGCCTTCCCTTTGAAAACTGGGTCCCAGTGCTGCTAGGTGGTCAAGAGCCCTGCCACAGAACCTGTTGCCCTACACCATGGGATCAATAAAGACTTAATTTGATCCGCATTCCTAGGGATGAGGAATGTGCAGCTCCGGGCCTGGAGTCGAAGGCACAATCAAAATCTTTGAAAGTGAGACTGAAACACTTTGTCTTAAGTTTACTAGGGAAAACCTAAGCTTTGATTGTTCATGCTCATAAAAACATGTCAAATACACAATGAAAGTTCAGTGACGATCACCCCAGCCCAGATGTCTCTACCTCAGGAACTCAGCAAGGATGTACTGAAAACTGCAGTGTTTTTGTGGGGAACTCGCTAAGCCATTCCCAGTTATCACAGGGGAAGCATGTGCTTCTCATTTCCTGGATATTCCGTCTTCCGTAGCCTGTCCCCATCTGTCCTTTCTGTTCTCTTTCTGCTCCATGGTTACAGAACAGACCCGGCCATTATCTCTGTAAGCTCACTCTCCTTCAAGTCTCCTCTTCTGTCTTTCCTGTCTTTTCTCACATTAACCTTTTCGGCAATTAATCCCAGAGTGCCTGATATTATGACTGCACACTCTCGTGCTAATATCCCTCACGTCTTCATTAATACCCCACGTTGTCATGTTCTTGACAAGCAAGCTCTCATCAGAACTTTTCTGCAGGGATTTGCCAAAGTTCAGCCTGGGCTCTCAGCAGGAGCTCCATGGAGAACAGCCGGATGTAAGGAGCCGTAATTAGCCGCGACTGCGTGGCTGCAGTGCCGCAGACATAAAACAACAGAGTGCGCTCTGCGTACCTCAGTTTCGCGGTGAACTGAATGAGGGTTTTGAGTACCAGCGGCCTCTGAGGGTGTGTTGGCATGCAGGGCTGTCGCTCAACCACAAATGAGCTGCATGAGAAGGAAATAACATTGGAAAACGTTAAAAATATTATCCACAGATAACTGGAGGCTATTTCCCACAAAGTTCAAACTCTTTACATCTGGAAGATGCTGAAACCCCCATTCCACTCCAGTCTTCCAAGCAGATTCTCAAATCATTAGTGTAAAATAACAGGGAAAAAAATGCCTGAAGGTCATCCCTAATTAACAATAGTAATTCTTAACTACCTGTTATGGACCCAATAAAGATCCATGCTTATCCTATATAACAAAAGAGAAACTTAATTTTATGCCATCTCGGAACTTCCGGTGCCAAAAATTCGAGTTTTTTTTTTTTCTCCAGTGATCTTACAAAGTGCTTGCCACCCTCATTTCTTGGATGTGCTCTCAGGAAGAAATCCTTCCTCTTCTCTGTGATGTGAAAACGGAGTGGGAGGTGGGTGATGTGGTTCATTACCACACAGAAAAGACACGATTGAGGAGTAAAGAGTGGACATGTGGTTCTGGACTTCTCTGGGTTCTACCACTGCTTCCTGGGGTCCCCACCGCTCTGCTCCGTGCAGAGGGAGCCAGTGCTACCATCACAGCTGTGACGCACTCACTTCTTGAACAGGTTGTAGATCAGGAAGGTGGCTCTCTCCAGCAGGTGTGCTCTCTGCGTGGGGATGGGGTCTCCTTCGTAAGTCATCTTGGAAGACTGCTCCTCTAATTTCTCCAGCTGTCGTCTGAGTTGGAAAAGACTTTCTGCCAACAGGGTAAAGCTATTGAACAGCAAATGACAGGTTTTTTTTTCTCATTTAGTGACTGAGCTAGTTTAACAGCTGATCATATTTCATAATTAATAAATGGTTAAGTGATTAAATTAATTAAACAAATCATTTAATCCCAATTATGATTTATGATGATCTTTATTGTTTTTTCCTAAACCTTTTCCTCTTGATCATGTATCATGCTAAATATTTTCTAATTTGTGATTTTAATTTACAGACATCCTTTATAAAATATTGTCCACATCTGGAGCCAAATCCCCTTTAATTGGTCTTTAGATCCTCTTAAGTATGCATATTAAGAACATGGCTTTCACCGAGTCATAGACAGAACAATTTAAAATGTAGAGTACAGGACATGGAGAATGTCGCGTGTAAAATCCACTTCCCTCTCCAACTATGCACATTTACAGTTCCGGAGTGTTAGTGGAGAGTGAGGACTGAGTTGTTCTGGCAGAAGTCACACGGTGTTTGGGAATGCTTGCTGCTGGAATCCGAGTGGAAATCTGCTCACTATGTCTGATCCTTCCTTAGAGATGGAGGTGAGGATTGGGTCAGCTAAAAAGGACAAGAAAGACTAGTACAGACTAGGAAGAGGAGGGGGCTCCAGCCAGAGGAGCGGGGCACTTCAGCCGTCCTCTCCCACAGCATTAGACAGGAGGGACCAGTGGATGAGCTGCGGCCCTGGTGGGCTTCACCCTATGCACCATTAGGGCCTCCGTCATTGCTAGGCTTGTGGTCACAGCAGAGTTCTCTGGGTTTAGAGAGTGGAGGAGAATCAGTGTGTTTTAAAATGAGGACATGCCTTTACTTCTCTGAACAAGCAGGGGCATGGCAAACTTCTGGAATTATCCCTTAGAAAGCAATTTTGAATTTTAACTCAGCGATTTTGTTTCTCTGCATGTTTTTCAATGGCTCTCTCAGACAGTCTTATTTTGTATGTATGAGTCAGGAAACTTTGTCAACATCTTTATCTTGAAATGTAGAAAAGATAATGGCGTGTCTGTATTTTAAGTAGAGATGCCCTGTTGTGTCGACTGCTGGAGATCATGTCACTTGTTATTGTGTTAAATTTTGTACAGGGTCTTGATGTGTAGATGAGGATGGCTTGGATCACGTGTCCTTCCCCTGAGATGGCAGCTTGTGTTACCATGCCTAGCTTACCTCTCTTTAATTAGCCAGCAAACATCGTGAATTTTTGTAGTTTTATACATGTTTTGTGCTTTATTTGTATATTGAAGGATGGCCAAATCAAAACTCAGACACATGCATTTTCTCACACAACCTTTTTGTAAGAACAGAAAATCTACTTAGTAACTTTCAAGTATATAAACTATTTCCAACTGCATTCATCATGATGTGTAATAGATTTTCTAAACTTATTTTTTCCAGCTGAAATTTTGCATCCTTGACCAACAACCTTAACAAAGTGAATGTGTTTGAAAGCATAAAACGAAATGTTTAACTCGTATCATAAGACACACATTTTAAAAGTTGTTTTTAAGATTTTTGAAGCTAGTGTTTATTATATCCTTAAAGACAATGCACTATTTGCTTCAAAAGAATCATTCGAGTCTTTTAGGATATCAGGTCTGCAAACTGAGGAATTCTTATGTGTGGGAAATGCTTCCTTTTCCTTCCCAGAGCCGAGAGGGAGCCAAGACCTCACTGAGCAGAGGAGCCTTTGCGCTCACCAGTTCAACGTTTCCCGGCGTGGTGTAACCTGTGCTCTGCACACTGCAGTCTGCACTTCCTGTGGTTTTCACTAGAAACTAAAGTCAGTCCCTTTACCAGTTCTGAAGCTGGTCCAGCCCGTTGTGGAGTGGGCCACCGATGCAGGCGATCTGCTGCCTCCTCTTCCAGTCCTGCAGCTCTTCTATGAGCATGCTGCTCATCAGCAGGTCCGACTCGTTCACTATCTGTGTCATCTTAGTGAGTGCTTCCTAAAAACAGACGGCAGGTGACGAGAGCCACAGAACACCCCGTTACAATCCGAGAGATGAAGGTTTGATTAAAATTAACCAAATATTTGATCAAGACTAGTTTCTACTTGTATAGCATTGCCTTTTCAAACAGTAAAGTCATTACAATTGGATAATGTCATAAGAACTGTGGCCACCGTTGACATTCTCACGTGTCCGTTCAAATGTGTCCAATGGGAACGTCTGTGCCAGTATTGAATCTTGCTGTCCTAAACATGCATTTGAACAGTTGTTTGTTTTACCGCTTTATATGTGTATGGGTGTTGTGCCTGCATATATGTGCAGAGGATGTGTGTGCAGAGCCTACAGAAGCCAGAAGAGGTGTTGGATCCTCCAGGAGTGGAGTTTCAGTTCGTGGTGAGCGCTCACCATGTGGGTTCTGGGAATGGAACCCACATCCTCTGGAGACCAGCCAGTGCTCTTAACCCCGAAGTCATTGCTTCAGCCCGGTTCTACTTTTGTTTTTTTATGAATGTGATTATCAATCTATTTGCAAATACACTGATTAAAACTTGGGTCTTCCTGTGTTTTTCCTTTTCTTCAGACTTTATTTGTGCTTAGGGAGGCATCGTGAAGGAACTTTCATAGTCATGGGGAGTAGGAGATGGAGCTTCTCTTCAGGTTTTCATTAGCACTGAAAGTTTGGACAAGCACTTATCCTTGCTATAACTTAACTTTCTCATATACATCATTGGGTAGATGGGTTAAATTATTTTCAGAGTTCCTTCTCTCTTGAATTTTATTTTTCAAGCAAAATAAGATGGTACATGTAAAATCTAAACAGATTAACCATAAAAGCCTTACATTTTAGCTTGGACTAACTCCTCACATGCTTGCAATATTATATATTCTTAGTTATATTTATAATCAATTTAAGGTAAAAATAAACTTATGTGGATTCATATTAATTCACCAGAAAGTGATCTTTTAGAAATGAACAACTAATTTAACAGTTATTGGTTAAATACCAATTGCATTTACTTTTAAAGGCAACTAGAAAATTGAAATAGGGATATTTAATCTCTTGGAAATATTTCATTGAGCCAAAAACTATTTTAAGTTTGGTTGCCAACAAACTTTTCTTAAGTTTGGAAAATTTCATGAGCAGAACAATATTTAATCATGTAACTCTTAGAAATGACTATAGAATACTAATATTTCCAATAATGTTTTAAGTCATGAAGTAGTTTTTAATTATAAATGTGTAGTGTAACTTACTTTAGCACATTAAACAGTGAAAAATAAAGCTTGGTATAGTTTCCACCTTAAGTTAACGATATCTCCAGCAGCATTTCACAGGCCAGGAGGGTGTGGGGCAGGTTGGCCATGCAAGTTTACTGAGTCATGGAGGACAGTTCCTGGAAACAGTACCATTTTTTTTTTTTTTCATACAGCGTAAATGGAACTGATAAACTCTGAGGTCTTGGTTACTTTCAGTAGGATGAGGTCTAGGGAAAGAATGCCAGGCAAATTCTTCACCAACCTTTCTCTTGAAGTCCAGGCTATTAAGCATTTCTTGGAGTGTCAAAACCTCCTGGTTCATTAGGATGCTATTCTTGTCACCCTGGTCTGCAAAGGGAAGGAGAGCAGATTCAGAGCCATCATCTCTGGGACAAGTCTTTTATCCCCAAGGTCAAGTCCATCTCAATCCAATGCCAAACCAGCCCTGGACTGGACCAGGGTCGAGGATGTTAGAGACAAAGTGAGCTCCTGGTGTTGAGCAAGGAAGTCCAGTCTGGGAATGTTCTTGACCTGCCAGGAAGAATTCCAGCCAAGCATGCACGGGGACCTTTCATCTAGCTGCAAGCAGAAAGGAGAGCGCTTTTCACCTAGTACTCAATATTTGGTGATGGACAAAGGTTTTTGTAATGGGCTTGTTTTACTGGCTCTGCCTGAACTGAGGGAAAAAAAAAAAAAACACTTGTTAGATACAAGGAAAGGGGAATTCCTTGTGCCCGTAATTAAACCACGTGACTCATTCTGCAGCCTTTACTATTTTCCCAACCCATTCATCTCTGCCTGATAGAGTTAGTCTTAATCAACTTACAGGAACTAATAAAACTAAAATTTTTACTTTCTCGTTTTCCTTACAAAATGGACTAGCCTCACAACAAAACTGGTCAGGGAACAGAATAGAAAATAAAGCAAAATGAAAAACTATTTAGTCCCTTGGGTGAGAAGCTAGGCAGAAGCCAATACCCTATTGCTTAGTTTGAACATTAAACCTATTGGTACATGCAAATGCTGAGGGTTGGGGATGCTTATCTAACTTGTATAATTGCAAAAAAAAAAAAAAAAAAAAAAAAGCCAAACAAAACCACTGTGACAAATTTCTCTACAAATTATCACTCATTTTCAGGGTGTTATTTCTGGTTGTAACAGTTTACAAATTCTCCAGTTCTTGGATGCTACACACAGTAAAATGTGTGTCTATTGCTTTATCAAATGAAACTTCACTAGCCAATAGTTTCCAGTTTACTCTATAATTTGTTTCTCTGGTTATCCCCCATTTCACCTGTATCTTGGTGGGGAAAACATTTGTTGATTTAAGTAATTAAGAATGATCATTTTCAAACTTTTTTCTTGGTGCCTGTTTATGGCAGGCTGTCACACAACCCACATTGGCTTTATCCCCTGTGTAGCTGAGGATGATCTTAAACTCTCCTTGATGCCACCTCCTAAGTGCTGGGTTAAAGGTGTAAACCACGCACCTGGATTAATTTTTTTAATTCTTTATAATGCACATGAAAGCTGAAAAATATTGAGGTGACATAGATAATAAATGCTACATTCAAAACAGTTTTATTGTGTAATGTATCTTGTCATATTGTAATTCTTAAGCTTCATTGGTTATGTGGAAATTAGAATAAGTCTGTCTTCAATGACACTTGATGAAATACACAGTGTTTCCAGACTTTTCTAGGATCGTGGATCCCTTTGGTAAGTGATTAAACCTAAGCTGCGCTGTTTCTTCTAAAGAGAAAGTCTGAACATGTAAAAGATCATGGACATTTTGTACAGTTCACGGCAGTCATGGCGCCCTGATGATGACAGGAGAATGCAAAACGCCTTCTTCAGAAAAAGGAAGCGTTCAATAACAGTCAGCCATCTGCCTTCAGAGTCTGTGTTAACATCTCAATAGTTAAAGGAAGTTCTGTGACATAGATATTTAGCTTTGCTTTCCTTTAAAAACATTTTGAAGGGGTTGGGGATTTAGCTCAGTGGTAGAGTGCTTGCCTAGCAAGCGCAAGGCCCTGGGTTTGGTCCTCAGCTCTGAAAAAAAATTTTTTGAAGTAAGTAAAACTGTAAAAATATCACAGGGTTCCCATCTTTCCTTGTGATGGTTTGAATGAGAATAGCACCATAGCTCCTGTGTCTGAATGCTTGACCCCCAGTTAGTAAAGCTGTTTGGGAAGGATTGGAGCAGGCGTGGCCTTGTGGGAGGAGGTGTGGCCTTGTGGGAGCAGGTGTGGCCTTGTGGGAGGAGGTGTGTCACTAGGGGTGGGCTTTGAGGTTTCAAAAGCTCATGCCAGGCCCAGGGTCTGCTTCTCTCTTTCCCCCATGAATCAAGATGTAGCTCTCAGCTACTGCCCCAGGGCCTACCTGCACGCCACCACGCTCCCCACCATGACAATGAACTAAACCTCTGAAGCTATAAGCAAGCCCCAATTAAATGCTTTCTTCTAAAAGTTGCTCTTTTCAGCAATAGAAAAGTAACTAAGACGTGTGTCTAATGTCTTCTAGTCTCCAACACGAGCAGAGCATGATGATGGAAACCAATAAATCTATACTGGCGCAGTCCTGCAGCTAATCCACACAGAACCGACTAGAACCTCAGCGATTAGCCCAATGATTGCAGCAAGTTATCAGCAGCACGGAACATCAATCCACTTCTGCTCATGCATCTCAGGCCTTACAAGTGTTTTCATTTTCTCCATCCATTTATTAAAAATCATCTAACTAGAAACAAACTTAATGTTTAAGTACACAGAGTCAAATAGAATCAGTATCTTTGTACTTTGAAATTTATTCAATCATTAAAATTGTTTTAGAAATTCCTAAAGATAAAACTTTAAAATTTTATACACAAGAATATGTATACAATGACTAACTCTTTGTAAGATAAATTGCTGGATATATATGTTTGTGACTATGTAGAGAAAAATGTAAGATATTTTAACCATGTTTATCTGCAGATTGTGAGACTTCATGTGATTTTTATTTTGAATACTTTTGCCTACTTTGCAAATTTTTTTCTATGAAGCATAGTTCTACTTTATAACTTTTGAAAATTGTAAGAACTCATCAACTATCAGTAACTTCCTAAAAATATTAGATGATTATTTTTATTTTCATTAGTTGGGTTTTATTTTTCTTTTGAGGAAGTTTCTTGCTGTGCATCTCAGACTCTTGCTATGTATCCCATACTGGTTTCCAGCTCTCCACCCTCCTGCTCAGCCTCCCACTCACTGGGATTCTAGGCATGTGCACCACACCCAGTCCTGAGATCCCGACCCCTTAGAATGTTTTTCCAGGGGGAGATACACATTGCAGTGGGTGCCATTTCTCACATAACCTCTAATTTGCTTTGAATTGGTTAGTAAATAAATATATGTGTATAACCTAAATGGAGAAAAGGAAAAAGCAGAACTGGAAACAGTCTGTCTACATTCCTCAAAAATGAAATTGGTGGGGGGCTCGTGTAAGGAAGATCAAATTGGCTTGCAGCTTGACTCTGACTAGTGAAGAACCCTAATAATTATGCCCTTTTGTGTGCCTGTGTAGAGTTACAGACAAAAGAGCAACTTACCCATTGTCTGAATTGTTTTATACCTGTAGTCAAATTCATCTTGCAGATCTTCCAAGTATTTGGTGTCTTGTTCTGTCATCTTTAAACAAAAGAAAACATGCTCAAAAGAAAATGCCAAACTATGCTTCAATGTTTAAGCACGCCATAGAAACATCATATGGACTTATAAACGATAATACACTGGGCATCCCAGCCGCCAACATCGTCTGTGGGAGCCAACACCTCCAAAGAGCTGCTCCACAGGAAAGCTGCTTTCTGATGGAAGACCGCGTTAAACGTTCTCTTCCACCTTAAGAAATGTTTATATTTTATGCTTATGAGCACATGCACGCAGTGTCTGAGGAGGTCAGAAGAGGATATCCGATCCCCGGAACTGGAGTGACAGAGTTGTGAGATGCCATCTAGGAACCAAACACAGGTCCTCTGCAAGAGTAGCAGGTTCTCTTAAATCCTGAGCGCTCTCTCTATCTCTCCCAACTCTCTTTCTTCCTGCTTAGGAAATCTTTCAGCATCTTTTTCCCCCTTCATTTCTCCCTTAGTTACAAGAGCTGCTGATCACATAACTTCATTTGCTGGAGAAAACTGATCCTTTTGTTCTCTCCGGCTCTACTTAGCTCTGTATTAGAGTACAATAATCAGAGAAGCGCAGTTTACGACAATTCTGCCTAAATAGTTTTTCTTTCTACTTCTTAAAATATGCCTCGATTTTTTATTTGTCTTTGAGTTTTTGTCTTTTTTTCCTCCAAATCCATCAGTGTCTCCTGTTCAGTCATAATAGTTGAGGTCTTGAATATTGGCTTTCATGGATTATCTCCTCTCACACCCATCAAGAGCCCACCACATCCGTTCTTGCTTTTGCAGACAAAGAAACGAGGCTTGAGCCTGGCCATGGTGGGACACGCCTTTAATCCTGGCATTGGTAGAGGCAGGAGGATCTCTGTGAACTTGAAGCCAGCCAGCCTTCTCTACAGAGTGAGCTCTAGGACAGCCAGGACTACACAGAGAAACCCTGTCTCAAAAAAAAAAAAAAAAAAAAAAAAAAAAAAA